CAATTACAAAGTTGAATCGAAACTATCAGGTACTTCATGTTAACCCCTAAATAAACCCCACCCCATCATGTAACAAGGCACTGCAGGTCCAGCCCATGAGAGTCTTTCATCAGGCTATTATTCTGAGTAAACCCTCGTTCTCTCATCACACTCCCCCTCTGACACATGCCCGCACTGCTAACCCTGCCCCAGTGATGAGCGGTGGGAGTGTGCTGCCGTGTTTTCCTCTGTTTGTTTAAGAGATTAAGGTGGTGAACCCTAAACCTGCGGAGTCCCCTGACTTCATACCAACAGATCTGCTCAGAGAGTTGGCACTGTCTCCATCACTGGAGCCGCTGATATTTAATCGTGTTTATTATCAGCTTCAAAGCAGATCTGTCGCAGATTAGACTCTCCAGGAATGAGCCTGGTGTGTGCAGCAGAAATATAATATACAGAAAAAACCTTCCATGACACTGACTTTAAAATATGTCCAGCACAAATTACAGCCAATTCCTTGAAGGCACTCACAATCAAAACTAATCTCACTGAGTAATATCTTGATGAGGGTTGGTTATTCCTGATGATGGCCTATATTTTGCATGCCGAAATCACACGACTGCCTTTGTCTGGAAAACATTTACATCTCTTAACACAGCTCGCTTGTCCAACCACTGGCACAAAACAAACAAGGAAGCAAGGTAGAAAAACAACCCGTAGGTTAAGTTACCACTAAAGAGGTCTTTTAGTGTTAAACGTCAAAACAACATGGACCATTTTGGACTTTTTAAAATAAACTGAGGTCGGCTTTAAAGGGGAATTTGAATATCAAGAGGAAACGATGTTTGTTTTGACAGTTCTGGTCTATGAAACTGAGAAAAAAAGGTGCTGCAAAGAATACACAATAGTTTTAAGACAATACATAAAAAGTAATCAAAAATGAACACTAAGAAATTCTTCTTATTTTTTCCTGAACAGTTAAAACTTTTAAAATGTAGTTAAAAAAGCAGATTCTGACTGAGACAGTAAATATTTTTGCCATTTCAGGAAGTCAGACATTTAATACAGTTACATTAAAAATATGTCAAAAACTTCTGAAAAAGAAATTTCCACCACAAAGTATGCAGACTTTGTTGAACGTGAACAATAGACCCTTATAGAGCTGAGGTATGTCAAGAGCATGTGATGCTAAGGGGGGTGTGGCCCCTCAGGTGCTCAGTGGAGGTAATACACTCTTCAGGTAAGGCTGAGTGACTCATTCTCACACACACCTTGAACACCATGCACGGCGCTCTCACACCTTAACTCTTAAACTTCACCTGACAACAATCTGTGCGGACGAGATAAATAAGCACGGCGTTTAATGAAGCAGGTTCTCCTGGGAAAAGCAGTTTGCACCTGAAGAGCTGCTGGACTTGGACTTAAAGACAGTGAGTTGTTAAAAACAAATGTGATCTCTGTGTGCAGGGCTGATCTCTTGTTTTGATTTCTATTGTCAAGGATTTAATCAGACAGAGGGAACTGTGGACGTACTAACACTGTGAAGTTAAGTTCATTTTATAATCTGTCTTTTAAAGGACATTTCTGAAGTGTTCGTGACAATGCCGGTGGTCAAAGTGGAGAAAGACTCTCCAGCAGACACCACCTTGCCTGCTTCCAACCCTCCACTGCAGACGGAGGAGCAGCCCAGAGGTCGGAGGAGGAAGAGACCTCTCCAGCGAGGGAAACCCCCGTACAGCTACATCGCACTCATTTCCATGGCCATAGCCAACTCTCCAGACCGCAAGCTGACTCTGGGGGGCATCTACAAGTTCATCACAGAGCGCTTCCCCTTCTACAGAGACAATTCAAAGAAATGGCAGAACTCCATCCGCCATAACTTGACTCTCAATGATTGCTTTATCAAGATCCCCCGAGAGCCGGGGCGGCCAGGGAAGGGCAACTACTGGGCTTTAGACCCGAACGCAGAGGACATGTTCGAGAGTGGCAGCTTCCTGAGGCGCAGGAAGAGGTTTAAGCGCTGTGACTTGAGCACTTACGCTGCATATGTCCATGAGACACCAGTTTTCTCTCCTGTCCAGATTGCAAGATCGGCTGCATATTCCAACTCAGTCTACAACAACATGACGGTCAGTCCGGCCTACGGGCAGCAGCTGCCCTCTGCCTATTACCCCTCCTCATCTCCTCCTGGGTTCGGTCCTGGTCAGACCCGCATGTTCAGCATCAATAACCTTATAGGACACCCGACTCCAGCGAGCATGCTGGGAGGTCAAGGGTCAGAGGTGATGCAGCAGCCCGGCCGGACCTTCAGTCCCGAGGGGCTCACAAACGGATCCAGTCCCTGCAGCCTGGGAGCCCCGGCTTTCCAGAGCCAACAGTGTGGAGGGGCCGTATCATCACGCTCCTCTACGCACCCTGGGTTCACCTACTCTGGGCCAAACAGCCACCCGCACCACCTTACACACCAGAGCTCGTACGGACAGGGCCACAGCCAGGGGTACGCAGCGACAGGACGCCTCCATCCCTCAGCCCACGGGTCTATGGAGCCCATGGACCACTACGGCAGGGTCTCGCCAGTGCAGCTGGGCTCTTTCTCCCAGTATAACAGTGCTGCAGGTCCTATCACCAACACTGGGGGCTACCTGAGACACCCCACATACCCAGGGAATATGGACAGGTTTGTGTCTGCTATCTGAGACTCTAGATCCGAGCATCTCACCAGCATGCTAATAGAACATCAGAGACTTGAGCCAGACATTTCTGTGCACAAACTACTGTTTTTCTTTGTTCATGACATTTGTTAAGGACAAATCTGAACAGACTGATTAAAAACACCAACCCTGACACAACTGTTATTTACCACATTAACCCCACAACCCATTTTCCATGTTGATGGTAATTTACTCTGAGTTACGGCCTATAAATTTGGATTTAAGTGTCAAGGCCTCTTCACAGCATGTGATTGTGAAGTTTATCTAATGTTGTGTGGTTGCAACTTCTTTTTTTGTTGTCATGAATTGAATGTGCAGGTTTAATACTTACGTTACTGGTGATATTAGTATAAATTATTGTGCTTCATGGTCATAAGCTTTGCAATGCGTGGCTTGTATGAAGAACGTCAGCTTTAGTACATTTGCATGTATTTTCTTGCCAAATGAAAATGCATATGAGGTTGTCTTTTTGGAAATAAACAGAATGATATAGCACTTTGGTTCTTCAAGAATAAAATATTTAAATTATTGATGTATTATTGCTTTGACAATTTAAGAAATTGTGCCAAAATATCACGTCCAAGGTTGAAAATATGGTTTGCCACATACTGAATTTACAGTTGTAACTCAACTATAATATATTACAAAATAACTAGGACACACAGACTGAGACATATACCTCCACGAACAAAGAAAATGCCCTTAAACATCTTTTCTTTTGTGTTCTTGTTGTTTTCGTCAGTGTTTCAGCTCAGCTGGTTTGAAGTGTTGTCTGGAGCCGCAGTATTACCAGTCACCGTGACCGGCCCCAATTATCATGTCCAGACATCAACACAGCACTCAGACAAGACAGACACACTTAATCTCCCACAAAGATCCCTTAATCAAGAAAATGAATTGACTTGTAATTTGATATTTCAGCCTATAAAGTTAAGTAGCACAAGCCCTTTATCTCAACACGAGAAAACTCCCTAATACAAAGTCTGCATATCAGACGAGATGAGACTTGTAAGGAAACGCTTCATTATAGTGAAGACACTTGATTTTCCGATCAGAAAAGAAGCTTTGTTGACAGATAAGATGTTTTTCCCAAGTAAAGTATCTGTGGTTGAAAGGGTGCTAGTTTTTCTTGAGTGTCACTGAATCCTAAAATCTGTGTGGATTAAATAAGAATAGCAGTAATCAGCAGTCGTCCAGAAGACAGTGATTAATGATTTTTAAAGAATACCAGCTTGAGTTACAGTCCAGTGGTAAAATTTTAACAAAATGCACTTATTTAATATTATAAAATCAGACAAGCCCTATCTAAAACAAGGATCACAGAGGTTTAAACTAACTCTGGTGTAGCCTGCAGAAGCGTACCTGACATTAACAAACATCAACAGGAAATTAATATGCAAAGTAACACTGAGCTGTTAGTTGATAGAAGGCTGCAACTAAAAATTGTTTTGTCAATTAATCTGGTTATTATTTTCTTAATTATTTGATTAGTTGTTTGGTTTATAAAATGTTGATCAGTGTTTCTGAAAGCCAAGATAAAATCCTCAAATGTCCTGTTTTGTACACAACCCAAAGATAATCAGTTTACTGTTACAGGAGTGAAGAAGCCAGAATATTCACATTTAAGAAGCTGGAGTCAGATTTTTGACTGTTTTTCTCAACAACAAAATTATTCAACTGATTAATCAATGAGCAAATTAGTTGGCAATTATTTTATTGGTTGACAACTAATGGATTAATCATTGCAGCTCTATCCATCACACATTTGAGTTCAATTGTCCATGAAAACACAACATGATTGCACCTGAGCCGACGGTTACTGATGACTGCTGAACTCTTCAGAGGAAGTTAAATACGTTTCATTTCTGGAGAAAGATACTGTGTAAACACAGCGGGCAGATGGGACCAATTTTCTGAATGAGGTTGTGTATTTTGTGGGTTGCACGTCGTAACCAAAAACCAAACGTGAAAATGTGGAAGGTGTGTGGTCAAGGATCATTACTACTTTCTGCCACATTTGTCTTTGAATGAATCATCATCTGATGGCTTTAACTAAATCCTGGGCAAGTTTTTAATTACCTGCTTTGATATAGAAATGAATGAAATCTAAACAAAATACAAACCCAGTGATGAACACACAGGTCTGACATCTGACACTGGAGAAATGTGTCAAATTTAATGTCCAGCTTGGAGCATCACACATCTGTTGGTGACATGGTGACACAAAGTTGCCAAACATTTTGAAAACATTTTTAATAATCATTTGCTCTTGAAATAAAAAAAACAAACATAAGGAGCAAAGACAATCCATAAGATATTAAAATTTTATTTAATTTTAATCATACTAAAAATATGAACACTTACAGCTAAAACACAACACAGACATAAATACAATAAACATTGGTGACGACAAACACGTCAGCCGATATATTCAACAAGCTGCTGGAGTTGTTCGCAATTCTTCACGACCACCGGCAAAGCGTGCAGAGTCTGTGTGGAGAAAATGAGCACAGTCATTATCTCAAATATCCACACATGCAGTACATATTCATGACAGAGGAAGGCACCTCACCTCTCGGACTTTATTGATCACTCTGCTTAACGTCTGAATCTCATTCTCAATTTTCTGCTGATTGGTCTGGTAGATGAGTTGCTGTAAGAGACGTTACAACATTGTGAACATACTGGATTACATCCTCATTTAAATGACGCTTCTTCAGCTCTTTTATTAAATATTAAAATATTTTATTCCTTTACATAGTCAGCAGTGTCTGTAACTGATACAGCACATCAAGCCAATACTTACAGATCTTTTTGCTCTATCGAGGAGTTTAGCTCTGGCCTGCTCCGCCTCCTGAAGACTCAACTTCAGTCTCTCCACCTGCAGATAAAATATCAAAGGGACCTGTGTTAGAGAACCTGAAGTGTCAGCCTAAAAAGGTATCGAACTACACTGTATCTGGCAATGCTCCCACCATAAGTGACGGGATCGTACCTCTCTCAACAACTGGATCTTCTCTTCCATGAAATGTGCCGGGTAAGCTGATTGGCTACCAGCTTTTCTCAGCTCCCCCCGCAGGAAGTGAGACTCTGCCTTTGACTGCTGGAGCGAACGACGGAGCTCAACCACCTCCTTCCGCAATTCCTATGGAAATATTGAATGAAATAAAAATTACAAATAAAAGAATAAAAATAAAAGAATGCTAACTGATTTACAAACACACAAAGAACATAGAAAAAGGGGGGTAAAAAAATCTAATTAAAGAAATTAAAAAACAAAGAAAAGAAAAGGATGTGGGGGCTTATATCTATACATATAAGACATCCATCTCGTCTACCTGATCCAGAGCTGGTTGCAAAATGGTGTAGACGTTGAGGGCACAGCCTCCTGTAGCATACATATAGCCAACTGTATTCTGAGTATTTTAAAAATAAAGATTTTGTTCCTTACGTTACTCTCAGTCCTGTGTTTATTGAGGATTTCCTGGGTCTCTTGTATTTCCGCCACCAACTTTGCCACAGTTTTCTCATCCTGTGTAAAGACAAGTCATCTCTTAAAGAAGTCGGTGCTGTTTTAAAAAACTCATTTTGAATTTTTGCCAGGCATCACAGATGAAGTACATACTATTCACAGTTGGTCTTACCAGAGCTTTCTGCTGCAATGCATGATTTCCCTTCTCAAACAGGCTGTTCACACGGCTCAGTTGATGCTTCAGCTCAAACACCTCCGCCTCATGTCTGTTGTTTGCAGCCTGCTGCTCCACCTGCAGGCCAGAGCTGGAACAATGCATGAGATAATGTTGGAAAAGAAGGAATACATACAGACATACACAGGCTGGACTTTTACATTAAGCTTCTGTGAGAAATACTTTTTTTTTTCTAAAAATGAAAAATTCAACTTAATGCAAAAGAAAACTTGACAAATCCCTGATTCATTTCTCTCAGACGCAAAATTCATAGAACATAGATCCAGGAATCTTTAGCTATATTTACTAAGACAATTATTATCACCTCTTCTTTGTTACAGATCTCGATACCAAACCTCTGACAAAGGCCCTGTATGCTAAAACAGTGGTTCTCAACCAAGGGTCCAGTTCAGGACCTCCCGGACCCAGAAAACTAAGGAATAGCTTGTTTTCAGTATTTAATTCACTTTAGAAGGGAGCCAAATGCAAGTAGGAGCCATAAGAGTAACTACTCTAATCATAGGTTTTACTTTCTCCTCGGTTATCTCCTCAACAGGAGTTTACAATGATAGAATTATGAAGTGAAATCTTACCAAATGGGGGTCTGTGACCTAATGTGTATCAGTTTAGTGGTCTTTGACATAAAAAAGGTTGAGAACCACTGCGCTAAAACATGGTGAAGTGAAGTAAGGTGTCTTTCACATTAGGTGCTCCTATCACTTCAGCAACTAATAGTCTATTAGTAGCAGCAGTACAGTCTTATTACATGGCAGCAATATAGCTAGTGCTGGAGGGATTTATTCCTTAATTAACAATCAAAAATATTGGAGATTAAATTTCTATGGATCAATAACGATGCAAGTCGTTTATCAAGCAAAAAATGCCAAACATTTTCTGGTAACAGGTTCTTAAACACAATGACTTTCTGCTTTTCTCTGTTATATAATTGCAAATTGAATATATTTTCATTTAGGACTGTTGGTCGAAAAAAATAATTTGACGACCACACCTTTGATCTGGAAACTTGTGTTGGGCTTTATATTTTATCAACAGAGTGGTTCATTGATGAATCTAAAAAAATATTAAGTGACCATTTTTATTTCACACATTTTACAGGACTTACATGGTGTTGCGCAGCTCCTCCAGCTGAGCATCTTTACGCTGTCGCAGCAGCTTCAGGTTGCTGAGGAGCTCTGTGACGGTGCTGCCCAGGCCAGCCAGCAGCTCTGCCAGGCTGCTCTGATCGTCCTCCTCGGGCTCAAACTCTACTGCGTTCAAATTCTTTTTAGGGGTGACGGCTGTGATGCGGGTGAAGGCGCTCGTCTCGCTGAACAAAGGTGCACATTGTGGCTCAGGCGAGTCTGAGGGGACTGAAGAGACAGTGAACTACAACTTAGATTGCCTTAAAGGGTAAATTTGGTCATTTTTAACCTGGATCTGATTTTCACGTTTTTGTGTCTCAGTGAACAACATTTCTTTAAATTGGTATAACAGCGAAACAGGATACAACATAACAACTCAGGGTATTCATGAATCGTTAATGTAAGTCCACTAAAAGTGCTTGTTTTTGCTACTGACAGGCTCAAATTATTATTATTATAAGTGTCTAGGTGTGTTATGGGAAGGATCCCAACAGAAGCAGACCTGTTAGTTAGAGAGTAAGATCCTTTTTGTTTAACCAAAAACAGCCCCAAGACCACAATCGCCAAAGCCACCAGACTCCATTTAAATTTCAGAAAAAGATCTATCTCTGTAGGGATCCTTTCCATAAGTTGCCAGACACTTAGAATATCTATGTGAGTCTCTCAGTGGCAAAAAAAACGAACACTTCTAGCGGACAAGAAGAGACATTGCGAACATGCCCCGAGTGTTTACACTGCAGTCGGTCTCACTCAATACTAAACCAATTTCATAAACTGTTGATCCCATGAGTCATTTAGACACCAAAAAATGAAAAAAAAAAACGGGTCCAGGTTGAAAAATACTGAACCTACTATTTAAATTATTAGATGACGTTTAAGCCGCCACTGAACTAAGTTTGAGGCATGTAATTAAATGTGGCATGCACAATTTTCAGCGTCACTATGGTTCCAGTAACTACAATGCTACTTCTGCAAATCAATAACTGCTTCAAAATTACTCTGAGACGTGTTAATTCAAAATACAGAGAGCAATATAAGCCGTACATTATCCGTGAGGGAAATAGCATAACTGCAACAGCAGATAATGTGGGAAGAACAAGTGTAATAGAGTATTAAGGAAAAGGACATTTACAGCATGAGAGCATGTCCTTCTCACCTCCTACTAAGAAACATTGTTAGTTAATTTTGGGAAAGCGACTCTTTACCATTCTTCACAGGAAGATATTTATACTCCCCTTTCATATATACATGGCATGGGTCTGCTGAACACTCATTTAACCCAGGTTTGAGCCATTCAAATCAGACTGCTGTCACAGGTGAATCTCTCATGTCACCGTTTAGACACACTTGTTTGCACCTGCTGACCACTACAACTACATTACACCATGTTAAATAAAATTTTCATATCAACTCTCATCCCCATTAGAAATAGATGTTCAGCAAATCAGTGCAAGTGTCTGACTGGAGTTTCACTAAGGTTAGGAGGAGGATCATGAAGCAAGGTTGGATGATGCAAGGTTGACCCACTCAGACTGATTACCAGCGTGGGTTTAACCAGCTGCTGAGTAACTGACTGCTTTTGTAAGTAAATCAAAGCTGTAACAAGTTTATACTATGAAAGACATATGCAGGGTGAGCTACAGTACCTGGTTCAAGAGGTGTCTCTGCTCCGTCTTCCTCCTTCTCAGCAGTTAATGCAACAATGACGCTGTCGACAAAGGAGCTCGAGGGGTGACGACGCTCCAAGTTGAGGACTTGAGACTCTTTATCCAATAGTGATTCTGGTTTCTAAAGTAAGACATAAAGGCCTGCATGAAAATGTGTTTTCTCCACAGTGCTACAGTCCACTTACTTACAGTTCATTTCAGTTTTTTTATTTGTAAACCATGAAGTTTGAGCCAATGCATGTCGAGAACTGAAGAGTCTCTCACATGACTGAACATGAACACAATTAGAGGCTCATTCTCCAGTCAACTACAGTTACAGCGAGGGCACGTATGTAAGACAAAGGTGGTGAAATCCAGCTGCTCTTCTGCTTTAGGCTGTGTTTAATCTCTCTAAACAGATAATTGCGTATTCTTTTGCGTTACCTGGTCATTAAGAGCTTCATGTACTTCATTGGTCGTTCCTCGCAGTGTGTGATGTAGCAAAGTGATTTCAGTGACTGCCTGTGCCAGTTTCTCTCCGAGCTCCAGCTGGGTTGCACCAGCTCTGGATTTTGTGGTTTCCAGCTCCTCCTGCAGACTCCTGTTCTCAAGCCTGTATCACACATACACAGACAAGTTAACATTTAGTACACAGACTAAATGTTGAACAACTTTCATTTGCTGTAAGATTAGCACCAGAGGTTTAAATTTAGCTGACCGAAGACTTGTTTACACACTAAGGATTTTATCTTGATCAAATACACTATAAAGCCATTATTTCCTTTCGCTTTATATTTGCTACCTTCATTCACACAAAATGAAAACAAATCTGTTTATTAAAAAGCTTGTTTAACAGATATAATACAGGTATCTAACACAATATATAAAGTTTATCATGCTGCAAAGAACTTTGTAGGCAAAGCACAATTTTTTTTTTTTATGTAACCTAAAACACTGGATGATGACAAAATGCTGCCGTAATTCAAACAGATCTAATCAACATTTCTCACTTGCATATAACTGCACATCAATACATCATCATCTAATACATTTTGGTTTTCTTTATAAGATAAAAAAGCGAAGGTGATTCCATGGGTGCTGTTAACTTACTGAAGTTGACTAAGTTCTCCTTTCAGGTCCTCGCACTCGATGTTCCTCTCCCGCAGCCCCTGCAGGTTGGCCCTCAGCATACGCTCACTTTCAGCCACCTGCTCCCTCGCCAACTCATTCTCCATCTGTAAGAACTGACACACAAACACAACAGAAAATTTTAAAGCAAAAGTCACGTATTATGATGACAGCACCTTATTGAAAAAACACTTGATTTTTAGATCAAAAAATAACTGCTGATCATTTGAAATCTTTTTTAAATGTTACCAACAAAGGCTCAAATTTAAAGAATAAAGAAACTCAGCTCCATGTTGGCTAAAAAGCACAAGTGATACTACGGGTAAAGAATGGAGGACCAGACAACAAGCAGAAACAAAAAAATGAACAAAAAATGAATTACAGCAGTAAGAGGGCCTAAATCATAGAATAATTACAAATCAATAATCTACTAAAGTACGGTAAGTCAGGGCTGCATGATAAGGGAAATATGCAATAACATTGAATATCACCATACCGATGTTACTTGTAACTGATATTAAAACACACTCAGTTCTGCCTTTCTGCTGCTTTAAGTGTACAGCGAAAAACTAACAAATTGTTCGCTGAATTAAAATATGAAATGAAAATGATTTCAAACATTTTTAACTAAATGAACATTAACACAAAGGGCAATATATATATATTTTCTTTCAGCTAACTCAAACAAAATCCCCACATCATGCAATATCACATACTCATCACATACTATACTGTACAGCCCCACTGTTAGGAATATAATCTAAAAGCTTACCTCGTTCATATCCCGCACACCACTGAGTTGTGTGCAAACATCCTGGAGCTGCTGGATTTGCATGGTCTGGGACTGTGAGAGGACCTGCAGCTGACTGAGCTGCTCCTCACTTTGAGCCAGAGCCTGACTCAACTCACACACGCGCTGCTCCGACTGACCCAGTGACGTCTCCAATCTAGGCGCAGACAAAACACAGGCAGTGGGCACTAGTTTCAGTATTTTAGGTGACATTTGTAGATGTGTGGCAGGGAAAGAACAAGGTCGCCTATTGGTCCCATTCTGCTGTCATAATTCAAGTAGTTTGAACTCTTATTTTGGGAAACTTCACTGCGTACTGGTGAGGGCAACTTGTCAGCAGCAGTAAGGATAAGTGCCCCATTAATGCCTGTAGAGCTGATTCTCTACCCGAACCCAATGTGTTTGCAAACACATAATTTTACTAAACTGGTCTATGAATGCATTCAGAAAGTTATCAAGGATAGAAAGAAATCTGTGACAAGTTTTAGTCCAAATTTTGACAAAGGCTTTTCTCAGATAATCTCCAATGTGATTTTGCTTTAACTTTCTGATCATATCATTGGCCCCTTTCAAACTGAAATGCTTTTTGCATTGTTATGCATTTTCTTATTGTTCCACCCCTAATAAACAGACAAAATCAAAGTCACCACTTACTCATTGGCTCTGTCATTGGTGAGCTGGATGTCCTTCCACGACTGCTGCAACCTGAAACAACAATGCATTTTTTAGCACCAAGCTGTGCATCACTCAGTTTCTGCTTCTTTAAGATCCCCCTTGATAAAAATGTTTCAGTAGCATTTCACCATATGTTTCCTTTAATGTTCCTGAGCACATGTATGTTATTAGCACATCAGTGTTGTTGTGGGTGTCATACTTTGTAGTTTCGGCACCAAGGGCCTGCTCCAGGAAGGTGTAGGAGGCCAAAGTGGAGGAAACAGTAGCAGACAGCTCCGTCACCTTCCTCTCCAGCTGACCCCTCTCTTCCTCTCTTTCTGTTAGCTTCTGACGGAGCACACCCATCTCTGAAATGTAAGGATGTCAAGGAAATGTTAGCACATTTATAGGCTGATAAGGAAGAACAATTTGAAAAGAAAAGTAGAACATATTTATTTCATCTTTTTACCTGAGGTCAGAATTGTCACCTGCAGATTTAAATCACCAATCTGTTCTCTGGCAGTTCGGAGATTCATATTAGCTTGGTCCAATTCTTCTTCAATCTGTTGAGTACAAGTTCATGTAAAAAAACAAAGAGTCATCTTCATGATCTGCAGCCATCATCATTCACATACGACAAGAGTTGCAGCAGTTTTAGGAATTAATTTATAAACATCAGACCTGCTCTCTCTCTTCAACAGCTTGGTCTCTTGCAGAGAGATACTCGTCCCTCTCAGTCAAAGCAGCAGCTGCCTTCTCATTCAGCTTCAGAAGAATGGGAGCAGTTTTCTGCAGAAGACCTCTGACTGCGCAGAGCTGTGACAAGATGAACACACAAATGCATCTGTATTATGAGCATTTATCAGGGTTCCCACAATTTTTCATGGACAAAACTTTAAAAACTTTTCCGTAACCTTTCATGGACCCATAAAAGAAATTCCTTGCTAAACTTGCCTGGCATTTTTTTTTGACATATCAGCTTCAAACTCTATTCAAACATTTTTTCAGCTCACTGACATACATAAAAAGGGAAACGAAACACGTGGAGAAAATGAAGAAACGTATGTGATGGTAAACAAAACGCTGTCAAACACTGACCCACATTACAGCTACGTTACGTCAACAGCTACAGAAAATAAATTTGCTGTTTTATTACCTTATCCACAGAAGATTACTGTAACAATTTCATGACACACAACAGAAAACCATGACTTTGCCAAAAAACTTTAAATGATTTTTACTAATTCCTTGACTTTTTCCAGGCCTGGAAAATGTGATGGTGAAATTCCATGACTTTTCCAGGTTTTCCATGACCACGAGAACCCTGATTAATGCATTTAAAACAAAGTCGTAAATGCTGTATCCACTCAAACGCCACATTAAAGACCAAAATTATATGACAGTACTATTGTGCTGTTATTATATTGTGAGCAAATGCCAGAGATCAAACAACAATTTAAACTTTCTCATCTTTGTAGCTTTTGGCAGACGGTGACTTTTGGAGATTTCGACATGCTTGATGGTACCGTTACATGCCTACAGCGCTTATAACATTCACCTTTAAAAAGTGATATAAAACATACTTCTTTCATCAAAGTGGATTGTTCCTCCAGTGTCATGGACAAAACATCAGTAACAGACTTAAGCATTTCAGCGTGGGCCTGGTTTAATGCAACCTGCATTAGAAGAGGGAAAAAAGAGACATTAAATACACTCTGATGGATGTTGTGCTGAATAGATTAAAATAGACCTGTTTGTTGCCTGTTCTCTGTAAAGTACCTGTTCAGGGTACGTCTGGTCTAGGGCAGCTGACAGTTCTTGCTGAGACCCAACAATCCTCTCCAGCGCTGAGATTTCTGTGGCACAGTGTGTCCTCAGCTGTTCCATCGCACTGAAGGCCTGGAGACAAAAACACATTTATGCTCCTGGAACAAAGGATGCTACGAGAAGCAAAAAGCATATTGCTGTAAATAATCTCAGACAACAAACATGTTATAAATTTTCTTTGTAAGGCAGCTTGAAGATTTTCATAACCAGAGACAGAAAACTACCACTCTCTAAATGCCTTAATTTGCTCCTCAATAGCAGCACAGGAATTATTCAGTTATTCTATTTTATCTTTTCACAACCAAAGCAAAGCCAAAAGCCCTGGTTTTACTGGCCTCAACAATACCAATAAAAAAAAATCCTCAACGTGCAGCAGAACCACTTGAGCAATAATTAGGAATAGGTACGAAGACAAAACATTTATTGAACTACCTAGGTGAAGAGATTTGTCACTGTACTTACTGCCTCCTTGGCTGTGAAGGCCTCCTCCATCTGTGTCCTCATGTCATCTCTTTGGTGAAGAGCATCTTGGACCTTCTGCGTCATTGTTGTCTGCGTCTTCTTTGTTTTCTCTAACAGAGACTTCATCTGACCGTACTGAATAACACAAGGAAAACACACATCAGCTAATTCATACCCACTGGATACGTACACAAAGAGCATGCAACTGATGTCAGATGGCAAAGACATGTTTACATACATGTGAAACAAGGCTTTGGTGGTCTTCTCTGACAACGTCTCCTATTTGCTTCATATTAGAGAGAGCAGCATCTGTGTCACAACTCAAAGAAGTCTGTTGGGACAAATATACAAACAAAATCAGGCGTTTCAATGCATTCTTTTCACTAATGTAAATCATTAAAACGCATGTGCCAGTGCCTTTTATCTATTAAGTTTAAACATGGCATTGCAGCATAGATCATGTGTTACAGATTGTTTATGTCTCACCATGGTGACCTTCATGTCCTGCATACACTGGCTGAGGTTCTGCAAAGAACTTCCATCCAACTCCAACTCACCAATCCTGCTCAGAGCCTCCAAATATAAGTCTCTGTGCATTGAGGTCTTTATAAAATACAAAACAAATAATCCGTTAAAACAGAGATTGTGGATGAACTAAAAGAAACTCAAGATGTCATCACAGCGAAATAATTAAATCTACAACAGTGCAAACTCTAAACGCTTCACATATCCCACTGTCAACCCTTATAGATGTCAGAGTGTGTCCTTACCTGACTGAGCTCAGTGTGGTCCGTCTGCACTAGTTTCTCCCTGAGGTCTGACGGTGCAGGGCCTGCAGAAGGACATCCACTAGCCCTGGATGCAGCCAACTGCTGCACCAGAGCCTCCACCATGATCATGCTCGACCTTAACCTCTGCTCCAGCTCTTGTCTGGGAAGACCCTCTAGGCTGCCTGGAGGTACACTGAAAGCACATCAACAGAAGGAAACAGTGAGAGGCAGACACAGAGAAACCATGTCATATACAGCCTAACTAATCCAGAGGCAACACTTACTTCCACAGGAGAGGGTCGGTCAGAGTGCAGGAATCCACCACAGAGAAATCCCTCTTTCTCTCAAACTGGCCAGATGTATTGACGCTGTGGTCTGACCATTTAACAGGAGTGGCGCCCACACAGATGCTGCGGGATTCTACAGGAGTAGCTTTTGCCGACGGGACCGTGACAGCAGCAGGAGGCAGAACGGGAGCAGAGACAGCAGCAGGTCCCATCTTTCCTGATGCCAAGAAAAGAAACTCCGCCATCTGCCGAAGCTGCTGCTGAAGGGGACCATCTGGAATCAAAGGTATATCCAGAGCCGGCTTCTCCACTTCAGACTGAGGCACTGCACAAGGCTTTACACCCACATCCTCAACTGGCTCAGGGACTGGGTCTGGCTGGAGCTTGCAATCTAATGCTGTAGAGTTAAACCGAGGATGTGGCATGGGGCTCTCCAAGTGCTCTGTCCACAACACAGCTGGGTCGATATTGGACGGAGCCACAACGCTCTTTTCACCCTCAAGAGAAGACTCATCAGCTAAAAACTGGTCAAGGGCAGGACGCTTGAAAGCCTTTAATACAGCGAGAGAGGCTCTCCTAACAACAGGACTGAGGATCCCAAACGCTGATGCTACTGAGCGACGGTCTGACAGCATTTTCAAAGCATCAGGGAGGTTTTCCCACTGGGGGTTTTCTGCAGAGTTACCGAGAATTGGTCCATTTCCAGATGAACCGAGTGCGCTGTCTTTTGCCTCATTGGATTCTCGGGGTTCACTGCTGGTTTGCACTTGAGATACGTGTTCCACAAGTGTCTCCACAGGTGTAGGAGTCTCTGCTGAAGCTGCAGTGGGGCTACAGTCTGGAGACTCAGTTCTGTGAAGCACTGAAGGCAAGGCACTGTCGTCAGGATGCACTGAGTCCTTTTTTGATGCCTCTTGCATTTGACAGTTAACAGATTCATGATCCAATTCCTTCAAAGACGTGTGAGTCTGTGAGGATGTACTGATAGCTGGTGCATCAGTATCAACCACAATTTCATCAGTATCCATTTGGCTGTTAGGTTGTTCATAGTGACCTTGAATGTGATCCTGTGTAGCAGAGGTAGGTACACTATTGTTGTCCAACGGCTGGCAGATCACTGCCTGGTCGTCAGGGAGAGGGACAGTCTTCTGAGTGTCATCTGACATTACTACTTCACTTCTGGCACTGATGAAAGAGCTGATCATAACGCCCTCTTGACTGCCAGTCTGGCTATTAGTTTCCACCAAGCTTATCTGTTTAACCTCATCCTCAACATCAAGTCTGACTGGTAATGACTCCTGGGAAATGGGACGATTGCCACTTGGGGTTGATGGGTAATTTTCAAAAACACAGTATTGGTGATCCAAATGATCATTACCGTTTTGTACATCTTGGTCACCAGCTAACACGCTTGGATCTAGACCATAGTTGTACGACTCACTGCAGGTCGCAGTTTGGTCAGCTGGCAGAGGAACAGTCTCATCTGCAAGTCTGGTGCCATGTGAAATTTCAATCACACCTCCAGTGCAGTTAAATGATTTGAAAGTGACATCACTCAGTCCATCAGCAGGCTTTTCAGGACTACCGGTGGTGTCAGAGGGAGTGGTGATGACATGATCACCATTTTCACCGCTACAGTAGGGATGATCTGCATGTTCTGCTTCACACAGTTGGCCACAGACAGAGATATTTGTTGTATTCATGCTGTCCTCTTGTAAAGGTTCACCCTGCTGTGCCTTAGGCAGAGGAATGGTCTCATCTTGAAGTCTGGTGACATCAGAAACTTCCACCTCACCCCCATCACAAACAAAGGATTTCCAAGTGATGTCTTTCTTTCCACAGCAGTCACTCTGAAAAGCTCTGAAATCTTCTGTGGCACATCTGTCATCCAAGCCACCAGTGGCCAGTGTAGTGTTTGAATTTTCACGGAGACATGCTGCGTTAATGTCAACCACGGAAGCATCTTTCATCTCAGGATTATAGTAGGGGTGTTCTATGTGACTACTGCATGACTGAACTATCATACTGTCAGAGATGACTGTTTCCTGTGTTTCACACATGGTTTTCATCGCCTGATCCTTGGGCAAAATGATACTCTCTTCCTCTGCACACAGTGAAGAGCCTGTAACTTCAACCTCCCCACCGGGACAGATGAAGGATTTAAATGTTACATCTCCAAGTCCACAAGCTGTCTCAGTAGCTGCCACATCAACAGTAGAAGCACTGATCTGAATCACTTTGGTGGCTGGAGAGTGCATGTGTGGCTCTGGATCACAAAGATTAGATTCGCCCTGTTGATTAGAATGAATGAAAGGTAAGGAAAAAGTCACAAAGAAATGTGTAAACAACATGAGCATTTTCCACATATTAGTATGAACCCACCTTGGGTGTTTTCACAACATCAGCACTGAGCAATGACTTTGATTTGAGTCTCGATGACGGCGTTGACAGATGCAGCATTTCATTCTGCAGACTTCTCAGTGGGGTACGCTCTCCACATCTGCTTGAAGGCTGACATCAACAGAAGTCAAACATAATATTATAAGCTTGTTTGGTCATAATTTAAAAACATAAATTGTGCACAGCAGAGCACAAAAGTCTTACCAAGCCTCCCCCACTGGAACTTGACTTCCTGGAGGACATTACTGTGGAGCTGTGAAACTATTACTGCAAATGAAGACACAGAATTTCATATTAAATGAGTATTTAAAAAAAAATATTTGATTGAACTGCTTGGTTGATGCTAAAGATAAGACGGTTTCTAAAGAGAAATGATAACCAGCCAACTTTAGATAACGTTAAGCGCTAACGTTATTGATACTACGTTACGTATCGAGTACAGGCAGTGAACCATTAGTAACGTTTATACTCATTGGTGCGTACATAAGCGGTAACAGCTAACCAAACCTAATTTGTAAGTATAGTGTAACACTAAATTATCAAACAGTGTGTTGGTAAGAATAACTGTAGCAAGGGCGGAGGGCTAGCAAACTCGTCGTAAGCTAACGTAAGTTACGTTAACTAAAGTTAGTTTGTACACGCCTCACAACGGCAGCTAACGGACATTTTAAACTCACCAAACTATAGTATATAATCTGTGAATTCAAGTAAAAGAAAATTACCTTCAAACTTTTACAAATAAACTTTAACCAACGTTGAAAAAGTGAGGAGAGCAGGGTAAACAAACCCTTAGCGTCGAGCAGCCATCAACCGCGTTTCATTCAAAACACAAATGTCAGCTCTGCTATTGGTCCTTTTATCTTCTTCGTTGGTTGTGTGATGCACTGGGCGCACGTATCACGTGCTGCCACACACTGTTGCCCTCAACAGGAAGTTAATGTCACTACTCCAGGGCGTTTTTGGTGATTACATAAAAACTACAACTGTCTTCTGTGTTGCCTTTTACTGCAGGTATTCATATTAGAATTATATGCTTAAACATAGTCAAGTTTAGTATATTATTTATGTAGCGCCAAGTCACAATAAATGTTATCTCATGACACTTTTCATCACTTTCATTACACATTTTCAAACATAAAAATGACTCCCATCATTGTGTCTCTTAATAGTCACCATCTACCCTTCTAATGAAAGACGTTTTTGATATTTAACCTGGTAAATCAGAGCCTTCCTTTTAGTTAAAGTTAAAAAAATACTCTTTTGCTTCACCGGTCCATTCAGGTCATCCCTTTTTCACATTCAATCCCCTCCTCTGTTTTTTTAGACACTGTGTATTTGTGTTTCCACCAAACATTTCTCAAAAGATGACTCTCAGTGGTTTTGTCATTGTTACCTTTAATTTTATCCAAAAAAGTATGGTAAGGCTTCTTCAGCTGAAGGTAATAACCTAATTTAAGTTATATAAATTCAATGCTTAAAGAATAATTTCAAGATTTCACTCTCTTCCTCCCCCCGACTCAAAAACACATCTGTAAAGCTATAGTTAGAGAGTGATGTAGGTATGGTTTATGACTTATACCAGTGATAAATTACAAGGGGAAAAAAAACAAAAAAGCCCACTCATTCATGATGATTCAGTTGAGTAGAGGGGCATTTACTTTCTCCAAATTAAGAAAAAAGATATGAAAATGGAAATGATACAGAAAAGAAACCTACACCAGAAAAAAACAAAAGAAATCTTGACCAAAGGTAAACATGCAAACAATTTTCGAAATCACGACGTTGTGCAGGCCAGGTGGACAAGCCATTAATACTTCATGAGAAGAGCTTGATATTGTAGTACCTTTGTACAGTCACTACTATTCTAGATAATTTTTACCGGACCAGCCATAGAAATGAACTACATCTTTTATTATCTACCATTTCTGCCCCATTATTACTTCCTGTCAGTAACAGAGCAGATAAGGACAAAAAACAAAAAAGCATTTGTTTCAAAAATCTTTTATTAATTCTACAGATAAAAAATTTTATGTTCCACATCTTTTATATGTCTGATTTAAAGAAAGTCTACATGATCAATCACACCACTGAAATACACATTTGTATGTAGAGAAATTACCTGCAAATAGTGAGAAACATTTGACAGGCTTCGTTTTTGAGTCTTTCCAGAGTTTCTCACATTGAGGCAACGTGCTGCTCCACAGGTCGGACCTGCAATACCTCAGCAAAGCCTTGTCCAAACCAGCAGGTGATGTCAGCCGTGTCCAGGGTGAAGAAGAACAGTCTGTCTCTGCAGCGTGTCCGCCTGTAGATTGACCGTGGGTCTGCTGACAGCACCCCTCTGATGGCCGCAGCAGCCTCCTCCGGACTGCGCAGGAACTTGAATCTGGGTCTGTCACTTTCAGAGGCTCCTGTGTGACATGGAAGTTGATGGGGTTTTTTTCAGTGGAAGCACTCTGTTATACTGTGAATTATTTATACACCCATCATTGTCATCAATGTCAAATATAACTTCATCCTGACAGAAGTACATTAGACAGATAATCTGTTAAAAAAAACAGATTCCTCCAATTCGTGGTGCCTCTAATGGCCTTACTGTATACGAATGAAAACAACCAATCAGACCTGATGAGTCCTGCCTATTTGTTGCCTCAAATGTTTTCAACTTATAGAGTGCTCTAGGGATGACGCTTTTCTATAGGTGGAAGTTAGCGTGCCCTGGGTCGCTCAGGGTTTTTTTCCCTTGGATTTCCATTGGAAGCTCTGTAGAAAATACATTTATGATACTTACATGTTTTGTTCAGCAAGATAATCTTCACAAACGAACACCACTTTTGTGATTTTTGAAGTCTAAATGAAATCATCATAAGTAAAATCTACCATTAGGCTATAAACAAACTACACCACAGTCACATGACCTTGGCATTGCCACCACAACAGCATGATGAAGTTCTGTAGTCTCATGTAGCCACATGTTAGCAACCACCATTTTTAGACACACAAAAGCTTCAAAATTCACAAGTGGGGTATTTACTGATGTATTTTATGTTGTAGAACAAAATATGACAGTCTTATTTCAGGCATTGGACCAAAAACCCATTCTTAAACCAAATGACTTCAAGACAAGGGAACTAGGAGTGTGAAATTTTCCGAGTTTTAGGACCCATTCCTGGGGCACTCTGTTTTAGTACTGTTTAAATAAGAATGTTTTGTTCTGGCCTCTCGGTGATGCTTGGTGTGTTGCATTACTATTTCCAACAAGGCAGCAGGGTCACAAGCTTTCTCATTTTACAGCAAAACAGTACAATAACACATGTGTCTGAAAACATCTGAGGTGAGAAAGTTTGACAGTTTGACTGCAGCTCATGAGCAGTGATTGACATGACTGATAGCTGTGTTAGAGACTCCGATTGGTTGTTTTCAGTGCTACAGTAAATTCTAGCAAATGCCTTTAGAGGCGATAGGAGGAAGAGGAGGTACATAATTTTTTTTCACTATCTGTCTCATGTATAACTGTGTGGATGTGGTGACACTTCCAGCACATATGAAAAAGAGTTATTTCATAGAAGTTGCCAACAGTAGCTGTAATCTAAATTAAATAAGTATGATATAAAATCTTTACTTTAATAAAAGGCTTTATAGTTTAACAAATATTTTTATTTTTAAATAAAATATAGTTCGTAGATTACGTACTAACCTAATGAAATGTGTATAATCTAAAATAAATAATTTCAAAGGATCCACATTTTAGTTAGCCTACGCATGAACTAAGAGTTAAACACTTCAATTCACACTTTTTTTATTGTGTGTGTGTGTGTGTGTGTGTGTGTGTGTGTGTGTGTGTCCTGACATGCACTTCAGATTAGCCCCTTTCTCTTGATTTGCCTTTGATATTTTGTTTATGTCCAGTGTTACTTCCTGTGGTTATTCTGTGTTGACTTGCCGCAGACATTTTTAATTCATGTTTAGTACATTTATAATACATTTCGCTTGTATAACACGACTAAGATGATAGAAGTGTAAAATAGGTCAAATAATTTCAAGGGACATATATGAGGAGGTCCCTGTTACATACTTTATCTTGTCAGGGGTCCTTGGCTGAAAAAGGATAAGGAACCTCTGCCATACATAACCACCCACTGCACACCTGTTTTGTAACATACTTGTGTGTACATACTGGTTCTGCTTTGTCATGTTTTTGTTTAGCTCTGCTGTCGCTGATTTTAGCTGTATGTCGACTGTAAATTATCCTGCGTGAGCACACTGAGAGCAACTTAAAACCGGAGTCAAAGGTCCCTCTCTGTGTACACACACTTTTCCAATAAAGCGGATTCTGTTACTGGATGCCTGGTTTCATAATCAGGTTTTTCATAACAGCACCCTCTTGTGGACACAAACAGAACATCACCCTTTTCTCTGTTAAAAAGGGTAGTGTTGAAAGTTTGGCTTACCTGACGTGGGAACAAAGTCTGCTAACTGCCTTTCAGCATTTGGGGTGAAGCGCACCTCCAGACTGCCAACAGGAGGCTCTCTGAGCCACCCAGCTATGGTGCTGTAGGCCTCCTCTCCATAGCAAGGGTGGTCCACTGTCGACTCTGGTGGTTTGGATTTGGGGGAATCTGACACTTGAACCTCACTGGCACAACTCAGCTGGCAAAGGTCACCTTGGTTCACATAGGCCTTGACCTCCTCCAGCACATTGTGTAGGTCTTTGCGGAGGGAGAACCGAGCAGTGACTGACTGAGATGAATCTGTGACTGGAGTATCGGCTTCGGATTTGTCTCTTGAGAGAAGTCTCCTCAAGTCATCGTCATCAGTTCTTCCACTTTTTAGGTCTGACTGCTCCTCTGACTCCTTGTGGAGGTTAAATGTGTCTGTTGACTCCTTTGGTGACCCAGCAGTCGCCTGTGGTCGCCCTGTGTTTGAATCATAAGGCTCAGATCCCATCCTGGTGTGGGGGGAGTCGTACTCTGGGATGTAGGGTTTGATGTCCAGGACCGGGGTGCCATCAATCATGTCAATGTCTGACAGGTGTATTGTGTCACCTAGAAAATATAAGCAGGAATGCATTTGTTTCTGTGGCTGAGGTTAAATTTGACAACTGAATATTAGACTTCTACTATATTTAATTTAACTGGAAACAAGAAAAAACAATTTGGTATTCAGAGTTTAAAAATGCTAACATGTTTACATTCTGCCAAATTTGTAAAAAGCTCCTTACAAAGACAAATACACACAGTAGCCATTGAAGAGTAGACACATTTACTCACCTACAATTTTATCAAGTTTAGCTAAAGTCAGGCCCAAGGCATTTGGTCGGTGTGGACTGCGTGTCGAGTACACTCCGACTCTCTGACCGTTGAGTCTAGGAGGCTTCACTTTGGCTTTATAACTCAGGTGCCCATTTTTGTGAAAGACAAAGATGATCCTGTTGGAAACCACATGTGGAAAACACATATGGCATGAAATAAACAATAGATACATAAAGTCTGTATGTGTGCGAAGGTGGTTATGTCGAAAGGGTCAAAACACTGTTTGCAAAATGGAAAATTAAATCCTAAATCATCAGTCTACAAGTAATATATAGAAAGACAACAAAAACATTTGCTGCTAAAGAAAAAAGTTACAAATATTACCTGAAAGAAGCAAAATAAAGTTGTTTATACAGCCCTTAATAGCAGTCTGACATGGCCTCATACACTCTTATAAGACAGGTGGAAGGACTACTCATTCAAGGTAAGAAAATATAAGATAGAAGACAGAAGATAGAACTTCATTTGTCCCGAGGCAAATTGCTGGGAAAGTCCGCAATTCACCTCAAATGTCTC